TATAATAGTGTATTTGGTGTTAATTACAAAATTAACAAGTAACCAGGTATAATAGTCTATTTTAAAGAGTGTGCTAGTTAAAAAATATTATCTAATTGTGCCTCATCTTGTTCTGGTGTGATAGGACCTTTAGGTTCAATTCCATCTTGAATATCTGCTACACGCAAAAATGATGGGTACCTTGCTTCTCCTATCTTTCCTGCCCACTCATAATTAACTAAAAAGATGCAATGTTCATCGTCTATTTTTTGAACAATTATGCTGCTTGACTTTATTTTGCCATGACAGAGTTTAAGATCTTTATGCATTGTTTTCAGTAGAACTTCTTTACAGTAATGCTTAAGGCTCAGAAGTTCCTCTTCTTTTTCTCCTGGATCTGGAAATTGTTCGAGATAATGTTTTAAGAATAATTTATTTAGAGGCTTAGCATTTTTTATGTACTCCATGACAACTGCTGTGTATTCAGTTCCTCTCACTTTCTCCCGATAGTGGATTAGTTTAGGTGCAAATCCTTCTTCGTACATTCGAACATGTGCTTCACGGCAGTATTTCTTGGTGAACTTGATGATTACATCAACCTCTTTACCATCGTTATATGTGAAGATGCCTTTGAACATGTGACGCTTCATTCTTTTTTGATATTGAAGCTTAGATTGCAAAATAGGAGGAAATCTTGGCTGCCTTAAAGTAGTAGCATTTTCATAATACTTCTTTATTTCTTTAATGGCATATTTCAATGCTTTAAATACTCGAGCGATTTTTTCTTCATTTGGAGATACGAGCTGAATGGGATCAACTAGTTTATCAACAAATACATATTCCCCATACACAGCACCTGATATGTGTAACCATTCACCGACTAATTCTAGGAGATACCCTGGTGCTGGACATCTATCTGGATGCTTATGTTCCAAATTTTTCAGCTTAGAATCTGATTCTTCTTTCAATGATTTTATGTAGTAGGCAGTAATTTGTGCATGACTGTTAGTATTACTCGATTCTTGCTCATTTTTAACTTCTACTTGTACACATTGACAAGGGTTAATTATTAAATCAGCCATAGAATATCCTGTTACAGCAGTGATGAAATTGTAACTTAAATCTATGCCTAAATAATTTTTCAGTAATTCTTGAAATATTTCCGATCTTTGTAGCTCTCCTTCATTTCTACCCGATTTTTCACTCTTTCTTGTCATGTATTCAGCCATTTTACTGCACATGCTGGATGCTAATTTGCAATCTTCTTTAGTTAGCGTCATCTCATCACCAAGAGTATGTGCACCCTTGACTCTGTCAATGAATTTCTGGAATCCTGGATAATATAATGTAACATCATCACCAACCCTGCCTTCTCGGTGATCGCATATTGGCATTAAAAAGTTAAGACACAACCTTTTTTCTGGATTCAATACTAGATTTCCTTCTGTTGTGGGTTTATCGACAAAGTAATTCATGAGTTCAATCCGTTTAACTAAAGGTAACCTTGCTACACAGCTTCCTATGTACAGTTTGTTAAATTTGTGCATTATTGTGACAGTAACTTACTGATGTGGTAGTAGTACTTATTTTTCTGACCAATACTCTTTAAAGCAAGCTTATCCTTGATATTAACTTCTTTCCCACCATATGAAGCAGAAATATACATTGGACCCTCGGTTGGACCTATAAAATGATCGGGCATTTGTGGAAATAACAATTTTATAAGACCTTTAACTGTTGTATTGCCAGCAACAACTTCTTGTTTAGAAATTGCTTTAAACGAAATTTCATAACACACTTTCACAGCTGGATATAATAGACAATAATATTATGACCATCATTATTGAAGGGTTATTTTTACTCACTAATTTCTTTAAAGATGTACACAGGATTATCTTTACTTGTATCTGAGGCTGGTACTGTTTTTTTATCAGATAATGTCTTTCCATTATGCACAACAATAGTATCTCCATCATCTTTAAAATGTTTTTTAAGTGAAGCTACCATCACTTCTCCACATTGACAAGAGTATCTTTTCGGTTTCTTTCCATTTAAATTTATCCAAATTAAAATCATATCTATAGCAATGGAAAGGAGAGGTATATTGAATTTATATAGAATTAATTAGAATTGTATTATACAAAGTTTTATAATAATACTGTTGTGTTGACAGAATTATTTGAAGTAAAATACACTTTTCTTCAAGAGCACTTTAAGTAGGAGCTTTGACTTACCGATCTCAACTGAATTTGAGAATCAGAAACAGTTAGCATGCAAGTTTATAGGCTCAGGTTGGCCCTTATTTTGACCAAATAAGGTATTGAGTATTGACTGACCTATTGATTGTGGCCTCGAGATATCATGTACTGATAAACATCTGTACAGGATGGTACAGTAGTACTCCCCCTAAACCACATTTGAGGGCAGATCCCTTAAAGGGGAACTACTGTATATCATAATAACATGCTAAAAATGATATGATACCCATTAATAGAGTATGTTAGTATGTAATTACAGCAAACACAACATAAGAATGTACCAAATGTATAAAAGCAACAACTGCATAGCTGTGTAAAAGAAGAGAGAAGTGTTATGTCAGTTTCTTGGTTTCAATGGTAACGTTCAATGTACGTATCAACAAACAGATCCTAGGTATGATAATCATTACAACAATCAATGATTGTGCTAGTAGATCATGTACTTTTAGTTTAACACTGGCAGTAGTTGACCATTTCTTAGGATCAGTTGATTCAAACTGATGATCCAAACGAAGGAGAATTGTTGACTGATCCAAATGCTCAAGAGT